CCAATAGAAAATCTTTGGAGGGAGCTGAATGTCCGTATTGCCCAGCGACAGCCCCGAAACCTGAAGGATCTGGAGAAGGTTTGTATGGAGGAGTGGGCCAAAATCCCTGCTACAGTGTGTGCAAACCTGGTCAAGACCTACAGGAAACGTATGATCTCTGTAATTGCAAACAAAGGTTTCTGTACCAAATATTAAGTTCTGCTTTTCTGATGTATCAAATACTTATGTCATGCAATAAAATGCAAATTAATTACTTAAAAATCATACAATGTGATTTTCTGGATTTTTGTTTTAGATTCCATCTCTCACAGTTGAAGTGTATCTATGATAAAAAATTACAGACCTCTACATGCTTTGTAAGTAGGAAAACCTGCAAAATCGGCAGTGTATCAAATACTTGTTCTCCCCACTGTATATGCACGCACCACATTTTCCGTTATTTATTTTTTAGAATTTTTTGAAACAAGTTATTTTTTTCATTTCACTTCACCAATTTGGACTATTTTGTGTATGTCCATTACATGAAATCCAAATAAAAATCAATTTAAATTACAGGTTGTAATGCAACAAAATAGGAAAAACGCCAAGGGGGATGAATACTTTTGCAAGGCACTGTATGAGTAGTATATGAGATTATGTATTTTTACCCATTTCTCAGGCCATTTTAGTGGCCTGTTAACTTAGGGGTTGGCTTGTCTTGTCAAATGGTGTTATTAAGGTTTTATTAACACTGACATACTGTCATAAGGTCATGTCAGTCCACCTTTATGTGTCACATTAATGAATCAAGGTGGATTCAATCTAAGTTGTCAAGAGCAAGCCACATCATAGCAGTTTAACATGGGTGTTGCTGTCACAAAAAACACCCAGTTAACAGAGAAGTAATGTGCTCTATGTACTGTATCTTAGGTTTTTAGGCTTTAAATGGTTTTCCATGTTAGAGTTTAAACTCACCCTGCTGAGCCTGTTACAGGAGCTTCAGACAGGATTATCCTCACTTTCCCTCTCTCTCCCTGGCTCTCTTGCTTTCTCCTTCCTTCCCCCTCTCAATTCCATTAAAGAGTAGCCTACTACAGTATATCCTTGGTGAGTTTATTACCAGTATGCTTGTACATCATTTTCACTCCAGTTCTTACTGTCATCCTTTTCTGGCCTTACATTATCTGTCTGATATGGATTTGGGGTCTTGAGATACACTGCCAGTCAAAAGTTTGGCCACACCTACTCATTCAAGGGTTTTTCTTTATTTTTACTATTTTTTTACATTGTAGAATAATAGTGAAGACCTCAAAACTATGAAAGAACAACCCCCCTGTCTCAGCCTACAGTATCTATGTGTAATTAATACGCGGACAGAGTGGTAAGATCCAATCGCAGAATAGCGATGCTTTATTAGAGTACAGACAAGGGAATAGCTTAATCGTGGTCGGGCGGGCTGTGGTCAAAACCGGGCCAGGCAGAGGTACCAAGGGAGCGGGCGTAGTCGTAGTCGAGGGCACAGGCACAGGGTCAGAGTACGGTAATCACTGAGATAGACAAGCAGAGGGTTAAGCAATTCGGGGAGTCAAACAACAAGGCACTGGTCGGATACACGGGTAATCAAAAACAACAAACTCTCTCTCTCTCTCGGAACAAAACGCTTAGCAAGTCACAATGGAACAATACCTCGCACCGACTGAACTTTTGAGCACACCTTATATCCTACCCTAATTACGGACAGGTGTGCTCAGAACTCAGGTGAACCAGATCGAGTCTGATGACTCCCCCTCTCTGTAGATCGGGGAAGTGTCAGACTCTGTCTAGACCCAGCCAACCCCCGATCCCTTACACTATGCTGCAATAGTCTATGTGCCGGGGGGCTAGGGTCAGTCTGTTATATCTGGTGTTATTCTCCTGTCTTATCCGGTGTCCTGTGTGAATTTAAGCATGGTCCCTCTAATTCTCTCTCTCTCCCTTTCTCTCCCATCCCGGACGACCTGAGCCCTAGGACCATGCCTCAGGACTACCTGGCCTGATGACTCCTTGCTGTCCCCAGTCCACCTGGTCGTGCTGCTGCTCCAGTTTCCACTCTTCTGCCTGCGGCTATGGAACCCTGACCTGTTCACCGGACGTGCTACCTTGTGCCAGACCTGCTGTTTTCAACTCTCTCTCTCTCTACCGCACCTGCTATTTCAACCTCTAAATGCCCGGCTATGAAAAGCCAAGTGACATTTACTCCAGATGTACTGACCTGTTGCAAGCTCTACAACCACTGTGATTATTATTTGACCCTGCTGGTCATCTATGAACGTTTGAACATCTTGGAGAAAAATCTGGCCTTAATGGCCATGTACTGTTATAATCTCCACCCGGCACAGCCAGAAGGGGACTGGCCACCCCTCAGAGCCTGGTTCCTCTCTAGGTTTCTTCCTAGGTTTCTGCCTTTCTAGGGAGTTTTTCCTAGCCACCGTGCTTCTACATCTGTATTACTTGCTGTTTGGGGTTTTAGGCTGGGTTTCTGTATAGCACTTTGTGACATCTGCTGATGTAAAAAGGGCTTTATAAATACAATTTGATTGATTGATTGATTGATGTAGTAACCAAAAAAGTGTTAAACAAATCAAAAACATTATATATTTCAGATTTTTCAAATAGCCACCCTTTGCCTTGATGACAGCTTTGCACACTCTTGGCATTCTCTCAACCAGATTCATGAGGTAGTCACCTGGAATGAATTTCAATTAACAGGTGTGCCTTCTTAAAAGTTAATTTGTGGAATTTCTTTCCTTCTTAATGTGTTTGAGCCAATCAGTTGTATTGTGACAAGGTAGGGGTGGTATACAGAAGATAGCCCTATTTGGTAAAAGACCAAGTCCATATTATGGCAAGAACAGCTCAAATAAGCAAAGAGAAACAACAGTCCATCATTACTTTAAGACATGAAGATCAGTCAATATGGAAAGTTTCTTCAAGTGCAGTCGCAAAAACCATCAAGTGCTATGATGAAACTGGCTCTCATGAGGACCGCCACAGGAATGGAAGACCCAGAGTTACCTCTGCTGCAGAGGATAAGTTCATTAGAGTTACCAGCCTCAGAAATTGCAGCCCAAATAAATGCTTCACAGAGTTCAAGTAACAGACACATCTCAACACCAACTGTTCAGAGGAGACTGTGTGAATCAGGCCTTCATGGTCGAATTGCTGCAAAGAAACCACTACTAAAGGACACCAATAAGAAGAAGAGACTTGCTTGGGCCAAGAAACACGAGCAATGGACATTAGACCGGTGGAAATGTGTCCTTTGGTCTGGAGTCCAAATTTGAGATTTTTGATTCCAACCGCCGTGGCTTTGTGAGATGCGCTGTGGGTGAACGGATGATCTCTGCATGTATATTTCCCACCATAAAGCATGGAGGAGGAGGTGTTATGGTGTGGGGGTGCTTGCTGGTGACACTGTCTGTGATTTATTTAGAATTCAAGGCACACTTAACCAGCATGGCTACCACAACATTCTGCAGCGATACGCCATCCCATCTGGTTTGGGCTTAGTGGGACTATCATTTGTTTTTCAACAGGACAATGACCCAACACACCTCCAGGCTGTGTAAGGGCTATTTTACCAAGAAGGAGAGTGATGGAGTGCTGCATCAGATGACCTGGCCTCCACAATCCCCCGACCTCAAGCCAATTGAGATGGTTTGGGAAGAGTCGGACCGCAGAGTGAAGGAAAAGCAGCCAAGTGCTCAGCATATGTGGTAACTCCTTCAAGACTGTTGGGAAAGCATTCCAGGTGAAGCTTTTTGAGAGAATGCCAAGAGTGTACAAAGATGTCATCAAGGCAAAGGGTGGCTACTTTGAAGAATCTCAAATATAAAATATATTTTGATTTGTTTAACACCTTTTTGGTTACTCCATGATTCCATATGGGTTATTTCATAGTTTTGATGTCTTCACTATTATTCTACAATGTAGACAATAGTGAAAAAAAATAAAAAACCTGGAATGAGTAGGTGTGTCCAAACTTTTGACTGGTACTGTATATATTTGACTATATCAATCTACAAAGTGAAAAATCTGTCGATGTGCCCCTGAGCAAAGCACTTAACACTAATTTGCTCCTGGGGCACCGTACTACTATGGCTGACCCTGTAAAACAACACATTTCACTGCACCTATCCGTTTTGACAATAATAATTTAAAACAAATCTAATTTGATATCAATCCCCAATAAATGTTCACCACAGTGCTTGAGAGCTTCATGCTAACATTTCATAGAGGTTATGACAAGTTATAGGAGTGGCAGACGTATCAGTGCCTATGCTTATATCTATCATCCTGTCATTTTCAATTTGGTTCGTCAGAGCTCATCCATGTCCCCACCCCTGCTTCAAGGGAGGCTAGCTTTGCTGACCAGACAGAGGCCTGAATTCCAATAGGAAAGGCCCGTTTAATAGGATAGGTGAGAGATTAGTGCTAAGACGCTCCAGACGTCCAACATTGTCCAAATCCATTGTCTCACCTACCTAAGCATGGGCACACAGGTGCTAGAACAGGACTGAAGGGGCATCTGGACTTTATTAAATCACTTTTTGGGGGGATCAAGCATGTGAACTTTGACACACCTTCACCAACGAATCCAGAAGATTACAATTAAGTGTTTGGTGGCTTTTATTTCTCCCCACAGATTTTTTTTTCACAAACCCTTTGGTCATATTATTATTTATTTACTTTTGGATAACAAAACCATCTTTCTTCAACAAGAATCATCTTACTGTCTCTCCTTTGAGAAACACTCATCAGAATACTCCATCTCCAATTCAGAATTCTACCTGTTCCGCTTGAAGTTTTTCCAGACTTACTCTTCTTCACCTTTGACCCGATCCTTTCTCAGATCGCTCCAGCAGTCTGTTGCTGCACTCTCCTTCTTCCCCTCAGATCCAACACATCATCCCTTCATCACCACATTCCTCATCCATTACTCCCAGTGACCCTCGGAGCCTCCGTGGGCTCCCACCAACACCATGGTGCTGATGAAGATGAAGTTCCCTTTTGAGAAGAGGATGAAGCTAGCCCAGGGGCTATGGCTGCTCTCCTGGATGGCCACACTGGGCGGAGCGTTCACCTTCACCCTGGGCTGCTTCCTCAAGACCGAGCTCCGCAGGAGGGCCGAGGTACCACAATGCTCTACAACATTACACTGTACACAACGCCACTATGATTCTTGCAATACAAGGCATATTACTTATCCAGAAGCTTCACTTTCTCAGATTTTTCCTCTGGTGTTTAGGGTTGTATTCAGTGAAGTTCTACAGTAGAATGGAATGATACTAGTAAAGAGGGATACTAGTAAACTTTTAGTCATAAACTGCATGAAAAGCATGAGGGTGAAAAGGGGGGAAATTCATTACAGCTTATTTGAGTGTATTAGAGCTTAAATTAAGAGTTTATTTTTGAGTGCTTCAAGATAACACAATAAAATGCATTGGAGTGTTGAAGATAACATCTCATGCAGAATACAGGAGCCTTTGATAATGCTCTTATGAGTGAGATTGTGATAAGGTATTCATATTGGATAGGTGGTTAGGTGTGGACGTTATCAACAGGGGGAAACTGTCTCTGGTGTGAACATACCGGTGATAAACTGAGAATAGGGACAAGATAAATTGACCTACAGAGTCAAATCAAATGTTATTTGTCACATACAATGGGTGTAGACGTTACCGTTAAATGCTTGCTTCAAGTGACTGACATTTTTATTATGATCTCTATTCATCATCTATCTTGAGATTTCAGAATTTGGAATAATATACTATCAACTATTGCACTTGTTGAATACATAAATAGAAACAAAATTACCCTCAATGTAGCCTCTACCAGGCTTTCACCTCAGAGCAAGGGCTGGAAGCCGAGGCTACCCTCAATGCCGCCCTTTTGCAGCAAATAACTACCTAATTGATTTCCTCTAATACATAATTATGTTTCCAACTTTAAAGAATTAGATTAATCACCAACCTCTACACATTCAATATTACTCAAATATGGGATCAATGGGTTGAAAGCCTAAAATATCAGTTTATACTGTATAGTTTGCTGTATCACTGATGCATGAGGTCTTTCTGCCTACAGGTAATGGACAACACAGAGATCCATGCTGTGCCCAACACCCTGATGATAGTGGGCATGGCCTCTCTGGGTATCAACTACTTTGCTGGCCGTATGTGCCAGGATGCCCTGGACGCTGGACGCTTCCCCCGCTGGAAGACCTTCCTACAACCCTACTGGGGAGTCTCTCTCCTTTTCACCCTCCTCATGCTGATGACTGTGATCATGAGCTACGCCATGAAGGGGAATCTGGAGTGGTCCCTAAAGATCGGCCTGAAGAATGGCATCCGCTTCTACAAGGACACAGACACCCCTGGTCGCTGCTTCCAGAAGCAGACCATTGACCGCCTGCAAATGGAGTTCCAGTGCTGTGGAAACACCGACTTCAAGGACTGGTTCGAGGTCCAGTGGATCAGCAACCGCTACCTAGACTTCAGCTCTAAGGAAGTGAAGGAGTGAGTACTGGCAGAGACTATTAGAGGACTGGGAGCAGTCTGACAGTCTTTGGTAAAGGAATAATCCCATGTCATATTATAATTTCAATAAATCATTAAGGTTATAGGAAATTAGGCAGTTGAGGTGATACAAAGGCATGATGTAGACTGTTTATTCTCTACATTCCTCCCCTTCCCCATCTCTTCTTCTTTAGCCGTGTTAAGAGCAACGTGGACGGGCGTTACCTGTTTGATGGGGTCCCTTTCAGCTGCTGCAACCCCAGCTCCCCAAGACCCTGCATTCAGGACCGCCTCACCAACAACTCAGCCCACTACAACTACGAGCACCAGACTGAGGAGCTCAACATCTACATCCGCGGCTGCAGGGAGGCTCTGGTCAATTACTACATGGGCCTGATGAACACTATTGGTGCTGCGGTGCTGTCCTTCTTCCTGGTCCAGGTACCGTGCAGATATACAGTACCGGTCAAAAGTTTTAGAACACCTACTCATTCAAGGGTTTTTCTTCATTTTTACTATTTTCTACATTGTAGAATAATAGTGAAGACATCAAAACTATGAAATAACACATATGGAATCACGTAGTAACCAAAAAACTGTTCAACAAATCAAAATATATTTTATATTTGAGATTCTTCAAATAGCCACCCTTTGCCTTGATGACAGCTTTGCACACTCTTGGCATTCTCTCAACCAGATTCATGAGATAGTCACCTGGAATGCATTTCAATTAACAGGTGTGCCTTCTTAAAAGTTAATTTGTGGAATTTATTTCCTTCTTAATGCGTTTGAGCCAATCAGTTGTATTGTGACAAGGTAGGGGTGGTATACAGAAGATAGCCCTATTTGGTAAAAGACCAAGTCCATATTATGGCAAGAACAGCTCAAATAATCAAAGAGGAACGACAGTCCATCATTACTTTAAGACATGAAGATTAGTCAATATGGAAAATGTCAAGAACTTTGAAAGTTTCTTCAAGTGCAGTCGCAAAAACCATCAAGCGCTATGATGAAACTGGCTCTCATGAGGACCGCCACAGGAATGGAAGACACAGAGTTACCTCTGCTGCAGAGGATAAGTTCATTAGATATAATAATATGGATATGTATAACAGTGTACTGGCATGTAGGTACTTCATAGTACCAGATCTACTGGGCTCTGTCCCAAATTGCATCATGTTCCCTATATAGTGTACTACTTTAGACCACTGTGGGCCTGGTCAGGAGTAGTGCCCTACATAGGGAATATGATGCTGTGGGCCTGGTCTGGAGTGGTGCCCTACATAGGGAATATGATGCTGTGGGCCTGGTCTGAAGTAGTGCCCTACATAGGGAATATGATGCTATGGGCCTGGTCTGAAGTAGTGCCCTACATAGGGAATATGATGCTGTGGGCCTGGTCTGGAGTGGTGCCCTACATAGGGAATATGATGCTGTGGGCCTGGTCTGGAGTGGTGCCCTACATAGGGAATATGATGCTGTGGGCCTGGTCTGGAGTGGTGCCCTACATAGGGAATATGATGCTGTGGGCCTGGTCTGAAGTAGTGCCCTACATAGGGAATATGATGCTGTGGGCCTGGTCTGGAGTGGTGCCCTACATAGGGAATATGATGCTGTGGGCCTGGTCTGGAGTGGTGCCCTACATAGGGAATATGATGCTATGGGCCTGGTCAGGAGTAGTGCCATTTGGGACGCACACTGAGTCATGTAGCTCCTTCATATACACCTGGTGCGCTGACAGACCGGTAGACAGACTGACAGACCGGTAGACAGATGACAGACGGTAGACAGACTGACAGACGGTAGACAGACTGACAGACGGTAGACAGACTGACAGACCGGTAGACAGACTGACAGACCGGTAGACAGACTGACAGACCGGTAGACAGACTGACAGACCGGTAGACAGACTGACAGACCGGTAGACAGACTGACAGACCGGTAGACAGACTGACAGACCGGTAGACAGACTGACAGACCGGTAGACAAGACAGACCGGTAGACAGACTGACAGACCGGTAGACAGACTGACAGACGACGACGTGACGACCGGTAGACAGACTGACAGACCGGTAGACAGACTGACAGACCGGTAGACAGACTGACAGACAGGTAGACAGACTGACAGACCGGTAGACAGACTGACAGACCGGTAAACAGACTGACAGACCGGTAGACAGACTGACAGACCGGTAGACAGACTGACAGACCGGTAGACAGACTGACAGACCGGTTGACAGACTGACAGACCGGTAGACAGACTGACAGACCGGTTGACAGACTGACAGACCGGTAGACAGACCGGTTGACAGACTGACAGACCGGTAGACAGACCGGTAGACAGACTGACAGACCGGTAGACAGACTGACAGACCGGTAGACAGACTGACAGACAGGTAGACAGACTGACAGACAGGTAGACAGACTGACAGACAGGTAGACAGACTGACAGACCAGTAGACAGACAGACAGACAGACAGACAGACAGACAGACAGACAGACAGACAGACAGACAGACAGACAGACAGACAGACAGACAGACAGACAGACAGACTGTATGTAACAGAGATGTATCATCTACACATGGTGTATGACCAGTATGACAATGTATGCACTCACTAACTGTAAGTCGCTCTGGATAAGAGCGTCTGCTAAATGACTAAAATGTAAATGTAAATGTTACCAGCCTCAGAAATTGCAGTTCAAATAAATGCTTCACAGAGTTCAAGTAACAGACACATCTCAACATCAACTGTTCAGAGGAGACTGTGTGAATCAGGCCATGGTCAAATTGCTGCAAAGAAACCACTACTAAAGGACACCAATAAGAAGAAGAGACTTGCTTGGACCAAGAAACACGAGCAATGGACATTAGATCGGTGGAAATGTTGTCCTTTGGTCTGGAGTCCAAACTGGAGATTTTTGGTTCCAACCGCTGTGTATTTGTGAGACGCGGTGTGGGTGAACGGATGATCTCTGCATGTGTATTTCCCACCGTAAAGCATGGAGGAGGAGGTGTTATGGTGTGGGGGTGCTTTGCTGGTGACACTGTCTGTGATTTATTTAGAAATCAAGGTACACTTAACCAGCATGGCTACCACAGCATTCTGCAGCGATACGCCATCCCATCTGGTTTGGGCTTAGTGGGACTATAATTTGTTTTTAAACAGTACACCTTCAGGCTGTGTAAGGGCTATTTTACCAAGTAGGAGAGTGATGGAGTTCTGCATCAGATGACCTGGCCTCCACAATCCTCCGACCTCAACCAAATTGAGATGGTTTGGGATAAGTCGGACCGCAGAGTGAAGGAAAAGCAGCCAACAAGTGCTCAGCATATGTGGTAACTCCTTCAAGACTGTTGGAAAAGCATTCCAGATGAAGCTGGTTGAGAGAATGCCAAGAGTGTGCAAAGCTGTCATCAAGGCAAAGGGTGGCTATTTGAAGAATCTCAAATATAAAATATATTTTGATTTGTTGAACACTTATTTTGTTACTACATGATTCCATATGTGTTATTTCATAGTTTTGATTTCTTCACTATTATTCTACAATGTAGAAAATAGTAAAAATGAAGAAAAACCCTTGAATGAGTAGGTGTTCTAAAACTTTCGACCGATAGTGTATATCAACCTACAAATCTAAAAGTGAGATAAATGTCCTGTGTGGCAATCAGAAGGTCCCCAGAACAGACTCCTGTGAGGGGCCACAATTATACTTGTAGCTTGCTGTTGAGTAATACAGTATACCCACCCCCCTGTATAACCTTTCTCCCTTCTCCCATCCTTCCCCTCCAGTTATCAGTGCTGGTAAGTCTGCGGTACCTGCAGACAGCCATGGAGGCGGTGGCAGGGCAGGAGAACACTGAGATTGAGACCGAGGGGTACCTGTTGGAGAAAGGGGTGAAGGAGACAATCATGGAGTACGTGACTCCTGTGTTGGTTTTCCTTCAGCTAAACCAGGTCGGAAGTGAGGATGGCAGCGCTGAAGCTGGGGAGACCCCCGCCAAATAAAGTGGAGAAATCAAAAGTTTTCAAACCGGGTGGTGTATGGGGCAAACATGGCACTTTATTGGGTAATAAATAATCTAACTAGACACTGATCAATTAATTTGGTATTTATTTGACATCACAATCCATTTTAATGCTGATATATTTCTATAATGTTTTACCCCCAAATGAGTGATTTGAATGTTGTAATCTATTTCAGTCACTTGAGGGCAAATACGTTTTTGTATCAGTTGTCCCAGTCTGAGTTTTAGGTACCCATGGCCATGCTAACCACACACACACACACACACACACACACACACACTAAACACACACACATTAAACACATTAACGTCACCCCAACGCCACCATAATCCTTTCATGATTAATGAAGCTATTTGATGTTCAGTCAATTCCATGTTCTCCCCAAAGGAGACATAAAGAACACATTTCTTCTTTTATAACTGGGGGTTGCCATGCACGATTATTTATACAGTCCACAATCCACCTTGAAGTAAAATTTGGTTGTGATTCATTAAAAGATTATTAAATTGAGAAAGATACAAAACCAGCTGTAACATGATCATGACATGAATTAGTTGGATATGTTCAATTACCTCACAATTGCAGTGTTCAACAGTCAATACCACAACAATATCATGGTTGACACTTACAATGTAAAGAGATTTCCAATTACTGAGGGATAGAGTTATATCAAATGGATACAGACACAAATTTAAAAAATGTATTTTGAGGAATACTTTCAAAATTACTGTATAATCATGGAACATTTTGCATAAAAGACAAACAGCAATGTAAAGCTGACTGTAGAATGATACAATGCTCAATGCTCTGCTACATAACACTCAGCAAAATGTCATACACAGCACTGTATTACAGAACTATTATGACAGAGAATCTATTAAAGCTGACCGTATATAATTGCTTTGTGGCATTCTGTCATTTTGTCTTTGTGTCTTTGTTTTAACCAGCTTCCCTTTACCATTTCGCTCTCTTTATCTGCCTTTCACTAAACCCCTCCTCACCTCTCTAAGAAGTGTCAGTCAGTGGGAGGAATACGATTATGAAGATGATGATTGATGTCAGTAATGCAATGAAAGCTGTGAGTCTGTGTCCTCTGTCCTGACACCTTTCACAACTCTGCTAATCTCAGGGATAATACCCCAACTGCTGCCCCAGCAGTCATCATACAGGAAGGCCATGAAGTCCCATGTGGCTCAGTTGGTAGAGCATGGCACTTGCAATGCCAGGGTTGTGGGCTCGATTCTCACGGGGCAACAGTGCAACATTTATTTAAGAGGTATGCAAATGTATGCACTGGATAAGAGTGTATGCAAAATCAGGGTTTCCCAAACTCGGTTCTGCCCCCCCAGCTTCATGAGGAGTTGGTTATTTTAATCAGCTGTGTAGTGCTGGGGCAAAAACCAAAACGTGCACAGGGGGACTGTGTTTGGGAAACCCTGTGCTAATGACTCAACTGTATGTGGAGAAGGGGTAAATGTACTGTTGACATACAGTATATGTGGTTTATTATGCAAACCAGAAATACAACCAACATTATATGGAATAAGATTAAACAACTGGAAATAATTAGGTGTAGGCCTACTAGATAGCTGACAATTAATCAATATAAAATAATAATCATCATCATCATCATCACCACAGTCATAACTTAGCTAGCTATCCTCATTAATATCAGCAAAAATGTAACCTGCTGCAGAAGCTAACTTCAGAGGTCTAACAGGTCTCTCTCTCCAAAAAGTTATAAAGGATGTGACATTGCGGCTTCCGTACTACGGACTCCCCAGCCACAACATCGTCTAGCTAGCTAGCTAAACTACCGGGAGCTAGTTTTTCAGTCATTGTTGTCAAATGTATTAGATTGATAAGGTGCATATCTTAAGCGTGAGTCACATCCTATCCGGACGAAACAGGATAAAATACCTCTTCGCGACATGCTATAAACAGTAAGCTTGCTATGGAATTAAAATAAACCGATTGTCAGTAGGCAAGCTAGCTAGCTCTGACAAGATAGCGAGCTTTTACATAGCTTTGTGGTATTACTGAAGTTAGCTAGTTAGTTGTAATTCTTTCTAACGGCTTTGCTACAAACGAGTAGATAGTTTCAGTTTGTCAAAATATATTGTTGCAAAAGGTAACTAGCAAGCAAGAGATAGGCTACTATGTAGGCAGCTTAACGCTGTCTGGTCAGTTCGGAGCTACATTGTAACCAGGTCAGTGCTAGAGAGATCAGCAGCAGTTTGTCTGTCGTAGTAGGAAATAACATCCTCATGATGGACACAGTTAGTTAGCAAACTAGCTACAGATTTACGATAACTGGTTGATTATTACAGTGATGGCTATATTTGGTAGATGGTGCTAGTATTTGCCCTTTAGTACAAGTAAAGCCTTGCTTTGTGATTTCTGACTCAGACGATCGTCATTATTAGTTGTCGTGTAGTGAAAATCTATGTGCGCCTGAAGATTAGGCGGAACAGCAGGATGTCTAGGGGATTTAGTGCAGCAATGATATTGTTTAGAAAACACAACAACAAAACCATGTTCACAATACATACAAAGGCCCCCAAATGAAATCTTACAAGGCTCAACTTTTCATTTTCTCTGACTATTCATCACATCTGGTGCGTCTGAGGTTATAGAAAACACATACGCATATAGCTAAATCGGTTTATTTCATTTGAAGAGTAGCCACATAAATATTTGATATGCCTGGGGACGGCTCGGATAGTAGTAGTAGCCAGGACTCCGATACAGGGATCCGGAGAAAAGCCTCCACTGTCAAACATGAGATTACCAATGGTAAGTAACATCAAAGTAACTAGCGCCTCGCCTGATTAATCAGACTGTGCTACACAATTGAATTGGTATTCAGTCTGAAACATAGGAGTGCAAAATTGTGGAAATGTTCCTTACAAGCCAGAATGTTAAATACGATTACATTTTAACTTACTCTACTGCTTGTCTGTACGGTTGGTCCTTCAGCTGCTCGAAATTTGAGACAAAATATCCACGGTTAAGTATTGTTTACCCGACTTTTTAGACTAGAGCGCCAGTACTGTAGTTTAAACTTCTATCACCTGGCACATGCACAAAACCATGTAAACACCTGTGAGACTTTGGTTAGTATGCATGCACTTCTGTCTTGTGTACGTGCCTTCGGTCATGAGCAAACACATCTTGATTGCCACACACATAGACCTGGATTTCGAAGTCGGTTTAATAATTCTTTCCCGGGGATGTTTTGTTTTACATTTCGAGCAGCTGAAGGCCCAACTGGTAGAGTAAGTTCAAATGTAATTTTATGAAACATTCTAGCTTGTAAGGAACATTTCCACGATGTTGAACTCCTGTTTGACTGTATACCAATTCAGTTGTGTGGCACAGTCTGATTAATCTAGCGCTATGCTGTTTCATAATTGATTATTTGAATCTGCCAAAGGATTTCAAGATGTGGTACACTGGGTAAATATTGCCCCTCTGTAATTTCAGCTATTGTACTAGGGCTCTATGTAAGGTGTTTGGAGTTTAAAATGATTATGTTTGGAGTTTCTGTAATTCTGTGTGGATCAATATCTGCTTCCTGACACAATTGCATCCTGACCTTGACTGACACAGCAATAGCAGAAGTAGTAGTGAATGTTCAAGCTGTGTTCAGTTGTCTTCAGGTGCAGATTGATGTGCTATATTTTGGTGAGTGGTGGTATCTCAGGGAACCACCTGGGACCACAGCCATGGATGAATGCAAGCAGACAATCAATCATGTTTGTTGTGGTGTCACAAAATATTCAGTTTACTGTGCTCTGCTAGAGTTTGTGTGTGTGTGTGTGTGTGTGTGTGCCTGCACGATCGTGTGTTGTGTGCGTGCAAACACTGATACTGTACTCCTCCCCCCGCCAGCTAACCTCACTGGCCATTCTGAGAGAGTGGGCATGGAGAACTTTGAGCTTCTCAAAGTCTTGGGCACAGGAGGTGAGGCTCACTGCGCCGATCTTGGGTCGATTGCATATACACTGAGTATACCAAACATTAGAAACACCTTCTTAATATTGAGTTGCACCATAGTATTATTGGAGACCTGGATAACTTAATTTTACTGTCTATTTTTTGTGTAACATTTAGAATTAAAGGTTAAGGTTGTAAATGTGGTGGATGCTCCTGGGTGGGTGGTAGGGGCTACAATCAAATGTGATAACCTTTTCGAATCTTTCCTCTGTGTCACTGTCTAGCCTATGGGAAAGTGTTTCTGGTCAGAAAGAACAGTGGTCATGATGAAGGGAAGCTGTATGCCATGAAGGTGAGTCTCCGTATCATCTTTGACGTTGGTCCAAAGACAACCAAAGCGTTGACATTGTCTGATGTAGGGAGAATTTCTGGACGGGTTGACCCACCTGTTGATAATAATGTCTCAGGTGCTGAAGAAAGCAGCCATCGTTCAGAAGGCGAAGACAGCGGAGCACACTCGTACAGAGAGACAGGTGCTGGAGCACATCCGCCAGTCCCCGTTCCTGGTCACCCTGCACTATGCCTTCCAGACCCAGACCAAGCTCCATCTCATCCTGGGTGAGCGCTGGGTCAAACAGACCCATACATGGAACTATCCGGCTATGACCTTGAAGGGCGGAAAGTGTGTCTCTGTGTGTATACTGCGTTTCTGTCTATATGCCTGTGTATGTGTGTTTTTTTTTGCTTGTCTATTCAAGTGTTACAGTGAGGGAAAAAAGTATTTGATCCCCTGCTGATTTTGTACGTTTGCCCACTGACAAAGAAATGATCAGTCTATAATTGTAATGGTAGGTTTATTTGAACAGTTAGAGACAGAATAACAACAAAAAAATCCATAAAAACGCATGTCAAAAATGTTATAAATTGATTTTCATTTTAATGAGGGAAATAAGTATTTGACCCCCTCTCAATCAGAAAGATTTCTGGCTCCCAGGTGTCTTTTATACAGGTAACGAGCTGAGATTAGGAGCACACTCTTAAAGGGAGTGCTCCTAATCTCAGCTTGTTACCTGTATAAAAGACACCTGTCCACAGAAGCAATCAATCAATCAGATTCCAACCTCTCCACCATGGCCAAGACCAAAGACCTCTCCAAGGATGTCAGGGACAAGATTGTAAACCTACACAAGGCTGGAATGGGCTACAAGACCATCGCCAAGCAGCTTGGTGAGAAGGTGACAACAGTTGGTGCGATTATTTGCAAATGGAAGAAACACGAAATAACTGTCAATCTCCCTCGGCCTGGGGCTCCATGCAAGATCTCACCTCGTGGAGTTGCAATGATCATGAGAACGGTGAGGAATCAGCCCAGATCTACACGGGAGGATCTTGTCAATGATCTCAAGGCAGCTGGGACCATAGTCACCAAGAAAACAATTGGTAACACACTATGCCGTGAAGGACTGAAATCCTGCAGCTCCCGCAAGGTCCCCCTGCTCAAGAAAGCACATATACAGGCCCGTCTGAAGTTTGCCAATGAACATCTGAATGATTCAGAGGAGAACTGGGTGAAAGTGTTGTGGTCAGATGAGACCAAAATCGAGCTCTTTGGCATCAACTCAACTCGCCGTGTTTGGAGGAGGAGGAATGCTGCCTATGACCCCAAGAACACCATCCCCACCGTCAAACATGGAGGTGGAAACATTATGCTTTGGGGTTGTTTTTCTGCTAAGGGGACAGGACAACTTCACAGCATCAAAGGGACGATGGACGGGGCCATGTACCATCAAATCTTGGGTGAGAACCTCCTTCCCTCAGCCAGGGCATTGAAAATGGGTCTTGGATGGGTATTCCAGCATGACATTGATCCAAAACACACGGCCAAGGCAACAAAGGAGTGGCTCAAGAAAAAGCACATTAAGGTCCTGGAGTGGCCTAGCCAGTCTCCAGACCTTAATCCCATAGAAAATCTGTGGAGGGAGCTGAACGTTCGAGTTGCCAAACGTCAGCCTCGAAACCTTAATGACTTGGAGAAGATCTGCAAAGAGGAGTGGGACAAAATCCCTCCTGAGATGTGTGCAAACCTGGTGGCCAACTACAAGAAACGTCTGACCTCTGTGATTGCCAACAAGGGTTTTGCCACCAAGTACTAAGTAATGTTTTGCAGAGGGGTCAAATACTTATTTCCCTCATTAAAATGCAAATCAATTTATAACATTTTTGACATGTGTTTTTCTGGATTTTGTTGTTGTTATTCTGTCTCTCACTGTTCAAATAAACCTACCATTAAAATTATAGACTGATCATGTCTTTGTCAGTGGGCAAACGTACAAAATCAGCAGGGGATCAAATACTTTTTTCCCTCACTGTAAATGTATCTGTCTGTGTATAGACTATGTGAGCGGAGGGGAGATGTTCACACACTTGTACCAGCGGGATCACTTCTCTGAGGAAGAGGTGCGGATCTACATCGGGGAGATTATCCTGGCCCTGGAGCACCTCCACAAGGTATGTTATCGAGCCTTTCTGTCCTTTACATTACCTTGCTGATATTCCATTCCTTAATTGTATCTGTGATCCACATACATGTTAGCCTTACATGATTACATGTGGGCTAGATACTATGCTCTGATCTGTTAATCGTATGTTATCCTGTGTATGTAACTTCTTTCTCGGTATGATGCGTACAGCTAGGTATCGTGTACCGGGACATCAAGTTAGAGAACATCCTATTGGACAGCGAGGGACATTTGGTGCTGACAGATTTTGGGCTCAGCAAAGAGTTCCTGGAGGAGGAGGTACATAAAAAAGGAAGACCTTTTTCATTGATACCTCTATTTGTGTGGACGCAATCTGTGCATGTATGTATCCATGCATACATATATTTTTGTCACTACAGACTGAGACGTGTGTTTATTTTCCCCACTACAGAAGGAAAGGACGTATTCGTTCTGTGGCACCATAGAGTACATGGCTCCAGAGATCATCAGGGGGAAGTCTGGTCATGGAAAGGTAAGAGTTAACCCATCATTCATTAGACATCAATTACTGTAGAACACAAATGTATCATCTTTCTTGCATTTTTTCCTTCTTCCGTTTACCCCTTTCTCCTGCCCACCCCAGTCGGTAGATTGGTGGAGTCTGGGGATCCTGATGTTTGAGTTGCTGACGGGGGCGTCACCATTCACCCTGGAGGGGGAGAGGAACTCCCAGAGTGAGGTGTCCAAGTGAGTGCTGCGTGCCATCCACCCCTCCACACATACACTGGTTCCATCCCAGTCTTTCATCATTGTCTGTGGCCCTCGGCAACTTTATCAAAATAATGACATCTATTGTAAAGGTGGCTCCTTTCCCCCTCTTTATCTTGCTGTCTGAATACAATAACAAATAAATGAGTTGTGCTGCGTCCTATGTGTAACATAAAGCCTGCAGCCTAATTAGACATTCTGGTAATGCGTTGCTTTTCAATCATGTTCTTTATGGCCATAATGGTTGCCTTTTAATGAGGGCTGTGTTTACATAGTGCCTTCAGAAAATATTCATATCCCTTGCCTTATTCATTGACATTTTAGTCATTTAGCAGACGCTCTTATCCAGAGCGATTTACAGTTAGTGAGTGCATACATTTTCATACTGGCCCCCCGTGGGAAACGAACCCACAACCCTGGCGTTGCAAGCGCCATGCTCTACCAACTGAGCTACAGGGGACTTATTCCACATTTTGTTGTGTTACAGCCTGAATTCAAAATGGATTAAAAACAAAAAAAAATTCACCCATCTACAAACACTACCCCATAATGACAAAGTGAAAACATGTTTAGAAATTAACAAATGTATTGAAAATGAAATGCAGAAATATCTCATTTACATAAGTATTCACACCCCCTGAGTCAATATTTTTTTGAAGCACCATTTGTGGCAATTACAGCTTTAAGGTCGTCTTGGGTTTGTCTGTATCAGCTTTGCACATCTGGATTTGGGGATTTTCTCCCATTCTTCCTTGAAGATTTTCTCAAGCGCTGTTGTTAGATTGCTGTTCACCGACTCTTCAAGTCTTTCCACAGTATTTCAATGTGATTCATGTCTGGGCTTTGGCTGGGCCACTCAAGGACTTTCAAATTCTTGTTCTGAAGCCATTCCAGTGTTGCTTTGGCTGCTTGGGGTCATTGTCCTGTTGGAATGTAAATCTTTGCCCCAGTTTGCACTCTGAAGCAGGTTCTCATCAAGGACTTGCCTGTATTTGGCTCCATTCATTGTTCCCTCTATCCTTACCAGTCTCCCAGTCCCTGCCGCTGAAAAGCACCCACATAGCATGATGCTGCCACCTCTATGCTTTACGGTAGGGATGGTGTTAGACGGGTGATGAGCTGTGCCTGGTTTTCTCCAGACATGGCGCTTTGAATTCAGGCCAAAGAGTAAAATGTTTGTCTCATTAGACCACAGAATATTTTGCCTTATGATCTGTCTTTCACGTGCCTTTTTGCAAACTCCAGGCGTGCTGTCATGTGCTTTTTTCTCAGGAGTGGCATCTGTCTGGCAACTCCCATAAAGCCCAGTTTGGTGAAGTGCTGTAAAGACTGTTGTCCTTCTGGAAGGTTCTCACATCTCAGCCAAGGAACTCTGTAGTTCTGTTAGAGTGGTCATTGGGTTCTTGGCCACCTCCCTGACCGAGGTCCTTCTTGCCCGGTTGCTCTGTTTGGTCGGACGGTCAGCTCTAGGCAGAGTCTGGGTAGTTCCATATGTTTTACATTTCCCAATGAAGGATACCACTGTGCTCTTGGAAACGTTCAACACTCTAGAAATGGTTTTATACCCTTCCACAGATATATGCTTCATCACAATTCTATCTCAGAGATCTACGGACAGTTCCTTGGACTTCATGGTATAGTTTCTGCTTTGACATGCACTGTAAACTGTGGGACCTTAAATAGACAGGTGTGTTTCTTTCTAAATGTCCAAACAATTGAGTTGGCCACAGGTGGACTCCAAACAAGTAGTAACATCTCAAGGATGATCAAAGGAAATGAGATGTACCTGAGCTCAATTTGGAGTGTCATAGCAAAGGGGGTGTGAATACTTATGTAAATGGAATATTTATGTATTTCATTTTCAATAATTTTGCAAACATTTCTAAATACATGTTTTCACTTTGTCATTATGGGGTATTGAGGGGAAAAAAACTGATTTTAATCCAATAAGTCAAGGGCTATGAATACTTTCTGAAGGCAAAGTGATTGCTCTTCCCTGTTTCTCTTCTTCGGACCGCCCCCCTCCTGCCCTCCTCTCAGGCGTATCTTACGCTGCGAGCCGCCGTTCCCCTCTATGATCGGAGTCGTGGCTCAGGACCTACTGAGGAAGCTGTTGGTCAAAGACCCCCACAGGAGACTGGGCTCGGGGCCACGAGGGGCCGAAGACATCAAGAGTCATGCCTTCTTCAAGGTGCTCCTCTTCTCTCCTGCATCTCTCTGTCTCTAGGCCCATCTCACTCCCTCTCTCTCTCTCCCAACGTGCACACACACTCCTCTCACCATTCTCGTCCCATTGCTCTATATTCCTAGGGTCTCAGTTGGTCAGACCTGGCTGAGAAGAAGGTAGTCAGCCCATTCAAACCAGAAATCAGGAGTGAGTTGGATACAGGGAACTTTGCTGAGGAGTTCACTGGCATGAATCCTGTCTACTCTCCAGCCAGCACCCCACCAAGTACTGACCGGCTGTTCCAGGTACGTTAAATACACATTGTGTGCTGACACTGTCACAGAAAGCCACCCTACATGCACAATAGTCTTCTCTTCTATTTCAGGGCTACTCCTTCGTTGCTCCCTCCATTCTGTTCAACAAGAACGTGGTGATGGGTGACTTCATGGAGGGCCAAATGGGAGCAGACCGGCCGGGCTCAGCCACTGTCCGTCGCAGTGCTATGTTAGAGGTATTGAACTAGTCCTCTCATGGCCTCAGGATAGACAAGAGGTTAGGTGCTATGTATCGGTGTTAATGTTGGCACTCTTTAAAAAAAAATGTAGTCTAGTCTTAGTCATTTTGACTCAAATATAATTGTCTTAGTCACATTTTTGTCATTTGAATAGTGATTTACTCTAGTTAATGTCAAAATGACGAAAACACTGGGCCATTTTAGTCACCATTTTCTTGTGCCTCATTAACCTATAGTAAACATAAATGATTGACTTCCATGTGCACAAACATGCATAGCTTGTTCTACCAACATATCTTTCTGCATAACATCCTTCTCTACCCAACAGCCAAGGTGGCAGAACACATTACTCTGCAGCAGATTAAAATCACACCCCTTGACATACTGTAGCTATATTGTAATCAAAGTTCTGTCATCAGTAGTGGTCTGATAGGTTGCAGCAAACTAACTAGATAGGATTATCAATCTGTTATTACCTGAGCGTATGTATTGGGATGATGCGCTTTCAGATATCTCTTGAGGTTGGTAGTAATTTTCCCCGTCAACTTGTGGGTGCAAACACTGTCTTCTCCTGTGGAAACGTTGCATTCGGTCTTGTTTGAATCGACAAGGTGGCTCCAAACGTCGGCCCTTTTCCTACCGGTAGCTTGTACCACCGGGAGTAGCCATGGCGTGTGCCTTATTTGCATCAATGATTTGTTGTCGCCAGATTGGATAACGGTTGCTGGGCAGAGAGGTGAATCGTGAATGACCTGAGCATGGTATTTATTTTCCACCAATAACAGAATTGCAACATTGCATTGAGAAAGCCTTACAATTCTGCTAATGTCCTGCATGCTTTTGATTGGACCAAAGAAATAACACTGAAAAGCTCTCAATCTCTACAAAAATTATTGTCCAGTCCACTTACTAGTCATATTTTAGTCACAGAGATAAATTCATCTAGTTTTCGTCAACCAAAATGAAAAAATCATTTTAGTTATGTTTTTTTCTGGGTGTATTAAGTTAGTTATTGTCTTGTCAATTGCCACTGAAAAATAGGCGTTTGACAAATAACTAACACTGGAATGTATCCAGAGAGGGTCTGTTAACCTGAGCTGCATTAGTAAAACAAATCTGTGTGCAATAATTTGACATTTAACAAGGGTAAGATTTGGACATTTCCTGCAGTGGAGCACATTTTGACACATTCTGCAGTTCGCTGTGTAGTTTGTACTTCACTTCCCTCTCTTGTCCTCTGCAGGACTCTACGTTCTTCCAGCTGTATGAGCTGTGCCTACAGGGGGCGCCGCTGGGTGAGGGCAGCTTCTCTGTGTGCAGGAAGTGTCGACACCGCCAGAGCGGCCATGAGTACGCCGTCAAGATCATCAGCCGCAGGTGAGCCGGGCGTGGCGCTGGCTGAGACTCTGTCACGCACTAATGCAACGTGTCATTGCTACACCTGCATGATGAATTACACACTTCACGCTGCTGTGTGTTTTAATATATTCTATTCCAATGCATTACCATACCTGTTTGGCGCACTGAGGTGCTTTGTGTTGTTGACCTTTTAATGTATGAATGCCTTTGAACTCTCTCTCTCTCTCTCTTGTAAGAATGGAATTGAACACTCAGAGGGAGATTGCTGCCCTCAGGCAGTGTGAGGCTCACCCCAACATCGTCAAACTGCACGAGGTCTACACTGATCAGGTACACATTGATGATAGAAATGCCATCAGCAGATGTTCAAGCAAAACTGTCAGGCGTTCTTTCTCTTCTCATTTGCTGTGTTTACTTACAAGGGGGCAGGACTTGAATCACAATCATGTTTGACATTTGGGGAACTTATTGGGAAACTTAAGCAATCATGCAGCAATAACAACAAATTCTCATCACAGATACAACGTAATCTTCTCTCTCTGTCTTCCTCCTCTCCCATCTCCCTCTCAATCACCCCCATCTCTTCCTCCCTCTCTCAGTTCCATACGTACCTGGTGATGGAGCTGCTGCGTGGGGGGGAGCTGCTGGAGAGGATCAAGAGGAAGAAGCTGTTTGGGGAGGCAGAGGCCAGTCAGCTGCTCAGGAGCCTGGTGTCAGCTGTCGGCTTCATGCACGAGGCTGGAGTGGTGCACAGAGACCTCAAACCAGAGGTGGGCCAACAGACTGACTCACAGAGAGTCTGCATATATTCTAGGATCTATAGAAATAGATGTCCAGGAAGGAGTCACACATTGAAATAGCTGCAATATTACACTACACTGACCAAATTCTGCAGCCAGTGAGTATAATGAAATCAAGGTGTTTAGCAATGCTGTAAAAACCACTAAGCATGGCCTATTTTATTTGGTTGTTTCAGGGTGAAATACATTGACATTTGTTGCTCCATTACATCAGCCAATGAATGTAACCTTCTGTTGACTGAGTTGTTCCTGCACTGCCCACTCACTGCTCTCGCTCTCTCTCCGCCTTGCAGAATGTGCTTTTTGCAGACGAGGGGGAGGACTCGGTACTCAAGGTGATAGATTTTGGTTTTGCCCGGCTGTGCCCTGTGGGCAGCGCCCCCCTGCAGACTCCATGCTTCACACTGCAGTACGCGGCTCCTGAGCTCTTCCACAGCACTGGCTACGACCAGGCCTGCGACCTCTGGAGCCTTGGGGTCATCCTGGTACTTACTGACTCTAATGTGTCATTAGTTCAATTAATTATCATTCTGTTATTAATGATGTGGGTGTGTGTTTCTCTGGCAGTACACCATGCTGTCAGGACAGGTGCCCTTTCAGAGTGAGCAGCAGCAGCGGGCGGGGATGACCTCATCTTATGCTGCTGACATCATGCATAAGATTAAAGAGGGTGACTTCTCATTGGCTGGAGAGGCTTGGAAGGGTGTGTCAGAGGAGGCTAAAGAGCTTGTGAAAGGTGTGTTTCAGATGCAATTCATATGTTCACTACATATACAGTACCAGTCAAAAGTTTGTACACACCTACTCATTCCAGGGTTTTCTTTATTTGTAGAATAATAGTGAAGACATCAAAACTATGAAATAACACATTGAATCATGGAGTAACCAAAAAAGTGTTAAACAAATCAAAATATATTTGAGATTCTTCAAAGTAGCCACCCTTTGCCTTGATAACAGCACACTCTTGGCATTCTCTCAACCAGCTTCATGAGGTAGTCACCTGGAATGCGTTTCAATTAACAGGTGTGCCTTGTTAAAAGTTAATTTGTGGAATTTCTCTCCTTCTTAATGCGTTTGAGCCAATCAGTTGTGTTGTGACAATTTAAGGTTGGTATACAGAAGACAGCACTATTTGGTAAAAGACCAAGTCCATATTATGGCAAGAACAGCTCAAATAAGCAAAGATAAACGACAGTCCATTATTATTATTATTATTATTATTATTTTTTTTATTTTTTTATTTTTTTATTTTTTTTAAACTGTTTATTGGTCATTTGCTTTGGGACTTGTTCTTTTTCCATGGAAATACAAATAACCTTCATATCAAACACTGAAAAAATAAAAAATAAAAAAATAAATCATACTTCATGCTTTAGCGTACAAAATGTTTTATTTTCCAAACTATTGTCCAGGTGTTAAAACCTCTTCACAATAAGTTGTAAAAGGGAAATGTATATAATGCTATACAGAAACTAAAAGTACAGAGATACCACTCCATTTAAACATTCAATAGAAATTGGTTCAAATATAAACACAGCATGTACAACAATGTTTTCACAAGGTGTCTTCACTGAGGATAAAACATCTTCACTGCCCGTCACAAAGTCTTCACTGAGGATAAAACATCTTCACAAAGTCTGACACACCAAAAAAAGGATGGCATCCTATTAAAAAATAATAATCATCACAGCATAAAACAAAACAATTCCCCAAACGGTTACCTTACGCCACCCCTACACTGAGATGAGAATGGTACGACCCAAAACCTTACCCAATCACATTCATTACCATCATGCAACAGGACTTGGAATTCTCAACTGTTCATGATAATCAGAGCTGCCAACCAACAGCGGGCAGAGGGGAATCAAATTATACATGAGCTTTGAATTACAAAAACAAAAAAAACATTCCAAGTAAAAAATACTGACCGAAACAAAACCAAGGTTTCAGAATAAATGCTCAAACTGAAACCGTCATTGTGTTCAGAGTGTGATGCTTTTACCGAGGACACCCACCATGCTGCAGTAGGTCAAAGGTCAGCCATGTCAGAAGAGAGGGGGCCGGAGAGAGGAAACCGAGGGAAAACACAGAGATAGCAGGCCCTGTAGTCTTACTAAAACAGTGTGTGTGTGTGTTCACGTTTGTCTTAATGGGAGTGTATTCATGTACTGTGTATGTGTGTGAGCGTTAGCTATGCGTGTGTTCATGTCAAAATGAGTGTATTCCTGTTCTCAATACTCAGTGGCGGCTGTCCGTGGACGGGGAACAAGAGCCACGAGACCTAGACCGAGACCTGGAAGGTGCACGCTGTGCAGGGGGAGGGGAGTGTGGAGAGGCAGACTTGCTTGGCTTGGAGGGCCGTTTGGAGGTCTCCTTAGCCCTGGGTGGTGGGGAGGCGGGGGCAGCCCCACCTCCTGCGCCTCCACGGGGGGCTGGGGAGCCGCTGTGGGACCGAGAGCGAGAGTAGTCCCTCTTGGGGGAGTGGGACCTGGAACGACGGGGTGTCCTGGAGCGGGACGGGGAACGGTTACGAGAACGGGAACGAGAGGAGCTCTCTGAGCGGGAACGACTCCTGGAACCCCTCTTCTTAGCTGCCTCAATCAGCTTGATCTTCCTTCCATTGATCTCCTTGCCAGACAGCTTCTCAACTGCGTTTTTCAGATCGCTGTAAGAGGCGAATTCAACCACCCCTTCGTTGAGCTTGGGGCGGTGGGCATCGGCAAACGTGACTTCCCCAGCCTGTCTCATGAAATCTTTCAGGTCCTGCCAGCTGACGCGGGATGACAGATTCTCCACGATGAGACGGTTCTCCGTACGCATCGGAGGAGGGTTCCTACTCCGACTATCCTGGGAGCCACGGCCGTAGCGATCCGGGAAGCGACCTCCACCACCTCCTCTGTCGCCACCACGTCCCCGGCCACCACGCAGGCGCACACGGGCGTGCTCAATGGTCACCCTCTCATTACAGAGCTCCTTGCCGTCCAGTTCATAAACTGCATCCTCCGCATCCCTAGGATCATCAAACTCCACAAAACCAAAGCCCCTCTTGAGGTCGATGTCTCGGATGCGGCCATATCCTTTGAAGAATCTCTCCACGTCCTTCTCTCTGGCAGACGGGTTCAACCGGCCGACAAAAATGCGACATCCACTCATTCTGGCTGTAGGATGTGTATCTTTCTGTGTGTTTTCTTCTGAGGGATCGTCTTGCTGCCTGCTGCCTCTTCAAAACACAGCGAGAAAGACACGCACACAAAATGGAGTCTGTTTTCACTCGGCTTTTCAATGACACGGCGCACTAGTACTTTATCTAGCCGCTAGGTGTCACCCAGTCACAAGGTTCAAAATCTACATAAAACAATGGATGGTGGCGCTCGTCACTCGTCATAGTAGTCGGGGACCCAATATAAAATGGCACGGCGCTTTATGTCCTCAGACTTGATTGTATGTTGATGTACAGGTAAATGCTGCTGTTGCGTTTACAGTTAGTAAGACGAACAGCTAGCCAGTATCATGATACTATATAGGCTGATGTTAGACACAATTTTGCACTCCAATGAGGTGCGGTTGTCCTGGAGTGTCCTTGAGGTGGTCACAGTGGGGTAGGCTTCAAAGTATCTGTTCTCTACAGGCCTTCCACCCATGTTTACTATGGATCTATCGATCTTTTAGCCTGCTTACTTAACTACACATCAATCTTTGGGCCGCTGAATAAAAACCACCGAAGACTGATCAATTCAGGTGTTCTTAAAATGTCTCTGTCGTAAATCCAGGCTCTGTCGTAGCTGGCTGTGACCGGGAGACCCATGGGGCGGCGCACAATTGGCCCAGCGTCGTCCAGGATAGGGGAGGGAATGGCCGGCAGGGATGTAGCTCAGTTGGTTGAGCATGGCGTTTGCAACGCCAGGGTTGTGGGTTCAATTCCCACGGGGGGCCAGTAAAAAATAATAATATATATATTTAAAAAAAGAATGATGTATGCACTCACTAACTGTAAGTCGCTCTGGATAAGAGCGTCTGCTAAATGACTAAAATGTAAATGTAATGTCTAGGCCCTCTTAAACAGTGAGGTCCAACCTTTAGGTTTCATTTAATGAATCATAGGTTTAAATGGTTTTATTGAACTGTGATAGACTACATCCAATTTGCTGAGTAGAGTGTTGGAAGCTGTTTTGTAAATGACATCGCCGAAGTCAAGGATCGGTAGGTCAGTTTTACGAGGACATGTTTGGCAGCATGAGTGAAGGAGGCTTTGTTGCGAAATAGGAAGCCGATTCTAGATTTAATTTTGGATTGGAGATGCTTTTTTATTTTTATTTTTTTTTATTTTTTTTTCGGGGGGAAGGATCAGCTTAATATTGCAGATAGATTGTATCTTCTATCAATGTAATTGTCTGCATCACTTCCAATCCCCCATATTTTATTTTATTTTTTATATATATATATTCCCCTTTATTACTTTTCAACCCCACCATCCTTTCCCTACTTGGAGTAAATTAGTGAACAACAACGCCCAGGCCTCTACTTCCGGTCCATACTCACTATCTACACCTTATGGACAGAGTTAATTTTACAATAATTCTATATCTATATATATATATATATATATATATATACATATATACATACATACACATACACACACACACATACACATATATATATATATATATATATATATATATATATATACATACACATATACACATCTATTTATTTTTTTTCTCCTGAACTTCTTCTACTCTCAACCTCTCCGATCATCTTCATGATGTCCATCCGGTTTGCCTCTAAATGCCATATCTTTCTAACTGTGCTCCTTCCCAAAAGCTCCCAACATACAACCTATATACTTATTATGGACACAGTATGCTTACATTATTAGCTATCTTTGTTATTATTTGTTGTTATTTGTTATTAGTCCCATCCTTCAACTCTATTCAATACCTCCCATCTATCTCTTAACACCATCCATATAGGATTTCTATTTGCCATATATATTTCAACCATACTGTGATGTTTTACAAAAGTTCTGAACCTTTCTATTCTCATTGCTTCTACAGATTGTGAATTAAAAATAAACAGTCCATTATTACTTTAAGACATGAAGATCAGTCAATACGGAACATTTCAAGAACTTTGTTTCTTCAAGTGCAGTCGCAAAAACCATCAAAAACCATCAAGCAGTATGATGAAACTGGCTCTCATGAGGACCGCCAAAGGAAAGGAAGACCTAGAGTTACCGCTGCAGCAGAGGATAAGTTTGTTCGAGTTACCAGCCTCAGAAATTGCAGCCCAAATAAATGCTTCAGAGTTCAAGTAACAGACACATCTCAACATCAACTGTTCAGAGGAGACTGCGTGAATCAGGCCTTCATGGTCGAATTGCTGCAAAGAAACCACTACTAAAGGACACCAATAAGAAGAAGAGACTTGCTTGGGCCAAGAAACACGAGCAATGGACATTAGACCGGTGGAAATCTGTCCTTTGGTCTGATGAGTCCAAATTTTAGATTTTACATTCCAACTGCCGTGTCTTTGTGAGACGCAGAGTAGGTGAACGGATGATCTCCGCATGTGTATTTCCCACCGTGAAGCATGGAGGAGGAGGTGTTATGGTGTGGGGGTGCTTTGCTGGTGACACTGTCTGTGATTGATTTAGAATTCAAGGCACACTTAACAAGCATGGCTACCACAGCGGTACGCAATCCCATCTGGTTTGGGCTTAGTGGGACTATCATTTGTTTTTCAACAGGACAATGACCCAACACACCTCCAGGCTGTGTAAGGGCTATTCTACCAAGAAGGCAAGTGATGGAGTGCTGCATCAGATGACCTGGCCTCCACAATCCCCCGACCTCAACCCAATTGAGATGGTTTGGGATGAGTTGGACCGCAGAGTGAAGTAAAAGCAGCCAACAAGTGCACAGCATATGTGGGAACTCCTTCAAGACGGTTAGAAAAGCATTCCAGGTGAAGCTTGTTGAGAGAATGCAAAGAGTGCGCAAAGCCGTCATCAAGGCAAAGGGTTGTTACTTTGAAGAATCTCAAATATAAAATATATTTTGATTTGTTTAACACTTTTTTGGTTACTACATGATTCCATATGTGTTATTTCATAGTTTTGATGTCTTCACTATTATTCTACAATGTAGAAAATAGTAAAAATAAAGAAAAATGCTTGAATGAGAAGGTGTGACCAAACTTTTGACTGGTACTGTGTATATAAGAAATGTAATCCCTTTATCGGTCACTCCCTTTCCTCCTTTCAGTCTTACTTTCTCTGCCCCACCTCATATTTCATTTTTGCTCTCCCTCCCTAACTCTTCTAAACCAACCCCCCTCCCTGTTTGTGTTCAGGTCTGCTGACAGTGGCTCCAGAGAGGCGTCTCAAGCTGTCTGCTCTGAGAGAGAACAGCTGGCTGCAGGGCGGCGCCATTGTATCTTCCACCCCCCTCTGCACCCCAGATGTGCTAGAGTCCAGCGGCCCCATCGTCCGCTCCTATGTCAACGCCACCTACAAGGTAATGAAACTCTTAATCTCTTCTTTTTTTTTTTTATACTCCAATCCAGTGCGGAAAAAGTATACCAGTAGATTGCATTCCTTGTGTTCTTTTTAACTTTTTGATTTAATGTCTTCTTACATTTACATTTCAGTCATTTAGCAGATGCTCTTCCTACTCTCCCGACCAAATCAAAGTTAATTTTAACACTGTACAATTAAATGCGTACTCGCAAGCTCTTCTCTCGAACAGTGCAACATTTATGAACGTTTTCAAGAAAAAATTGAGTCAAAAGTAGAAGTTAAAAATATATAGTATACGAGTAGTCATACGAGTATATATGAGTATTTATACAACAGGTCTAATCCTGGATGCTGATTGGTTAAAACCGCGTTCCAGCTGTTGTCTGTTCCACAAGTTACCACCGGCTAAGGCTATGACGTTGAAATGCCTATTTACTGTTCCATCTCACTGCGCAATCCACTGTCTCATCAGCCCAGCCAGACAATTTATCAACTTGATCTCCACTGTATAAAAGCATCTAGACATTATCTCCCCTTTCTTTTAGACTAGCATTTGATTTTCAACAGTGGAGATTTGTATAAGCCTTGCCATCTGAAATTCAATCTCCAGCTGTCCCATACAGTAATGAATGTGAAGAAAGGCAGCTTTTCTCAGCCAGTCGAAATCATGAATCGGCATATTTTTTTATAGATATATACAAAGAAATGTCAATAGAAAAACAGGTCAAATGAAATGCAGCTAGTTTGCGGTCTTTCCAACTTCAGTTTGAATCATTGTGTTAGCTGTGTAGTTGGCTAGCTCCTCTAAACCGTGTCCTTGCAAGAGAGCCAATTTTCTATGCCAGGCGAAATCGCGCATCATTAGCTCATTGTTATGGATGTATCCAAATACAGTGAGGGGAAAAAAGTATTTGATCCCCTGCTGATTTTGTACGTTTGCCCACTGACAAAGAAATGATCAGTCTATAATTTTAATGGTAGGTTTATTTGAACAGTCAGAGACAGAATAACAACAAAAAAATCCATAAAAACGCATGTCAAAAATGTTATAAATTGATTTGCATTTTAATGAGGGAAATAATTATTTGACCCCCTCTCAATCAGAAAGATTTCTGGCTCCCAGGTGTCTTTTCTACAGGTAACGAGCTGAGATTAGGAGCACACTCTTAAAGGGAGTGCTCCTAATCTCAGCTTGTTACCTGTATAAAAGACACCTGTCCACAGAAGCAATCAATCAATCAGATTCCAACCTCTCCACCATGGCCAAGACCAAAGAGCTCTCCAAGGATGTCAGGGACAAGATTGTAGACCTACACAAGGCTGGAATGGGCTACAAGACCATCGCCAAGCAGCTTGGTGAGAAGGTGACAACAGTTGGTGCGATTATTTGCAAATGGAAGAAACACAAAATAACTGTCAATCTCCCTCGGCCTGGGGCTCCATGCAAGATCTCACCTTGTGGAGTTGCAATGATCATGAGAACGGTGAGGAATCATCCCAGAACTACACGGGAGGATCTTGTCAATGATCTCAAGGCAGCTGGGACCATAGTCACCAAGAAAACAATTGGTAACACACTACGCCGTGAAGGACTGAAATCCTGCAGCGCCCGCAAGGTCCCCCTGCTCAAGAAAGCACATATACAGGGCCGTCTGAAGTTTACCAATGAACATCTGAATGATTCAGAGGAGAACTGGGTGAAAGTGTTGTGGTCAGATGACACCAAAATGGAGCTCTTTGGCATCAACTCAACTCGCCGTGTTTGGAGGAGGAGGAATGCTGCCTATGACCCCAAGAACACCATCCCCACCGTCAAACATGGAGGTGGAAACATTATGCTTTGGGGGTGTTTTTCTGCTAAGGGGACAGGACAACTTCACAGCATCAAAGGGACGATGGACGGGGCCATGTACCGTCAAATCTTGGGTGAGAACCTCCTTCCCTCAGCCAGGGCATTGAAAATGGGTCGTGGATGGTTATTCCAGCATGACAATGACCCAAAACACACGGCCAAGGCAACAAAGGAGTGGCTCAAGAAGAAGCACATTAAGGTCCTGGAGTGGCCTAGCCAGTCTCTAGACCTTAATCCCATAGAAAATCTTCAGCCTCGAAACGTCAGCCTTCGAAACCTTAATGACTTGGAGAAGATCTGCAAAGAGGAGTGGAACAAAATCCTCCTGAGATGTGTGCAAACCTGGTGGCCAACTACAAGAAACGTCTGACCTCTGTGATTGCCAACAAGGGTTTTGCCACCAAGTACTAAGTCATGTTTTGCAGAGGGGTCAGATACTTATGTCCCTCATTAAAATGCAAATTAATTTATAACATTTTTGACATGCGTTTTTCTGGATTTCTTTGTCTCTCACTGTTCAAATAAACCTACCATTAAAATTATAGGCTGATCATGTCTTTGTCAGTGGGCAAACGTACAAAATCAGCAGGGGATCATATACTTTTTTCCCTCACTGTAAACGTCACTATAAAACAGCTTGAAGAAGCGCAAATGCAGCTAATTTTCTCTTATTCTGGCTGCACTGTTTGACGTGACTGTGTTAGCCCAAGTTGGCTAGCTAGCAAGCCTGGTGATAAGAACGTTGCCAGCCAGCATGGCAAGGGAACATTTAGAATGAACGACTGGGTCCCGTCCATAGCTGTAGAATAAAAATACTTCATGACTGGGTCTGGCAACCTAACCGATGGAATGAACGACCAGCCAACTTGGGGAGCAACCCTAGATTTGTGTCGGGACTATAACTTGTGTAAGAATGAAATAAATTAGTATGAATAAATTCATCAAAATAACATTTATGTGTTGGTAACCCATTGTATAAAAGTGATCATGTCCCTCGAAGCTGGTGTTTGGAGGATATATTGACGTCTCAGGCCTAACAACACAATATGACTACAAAAACAGTAATATATTAATATAATAAATGGTATGTGCAATATAACGACAATAGAGAAATACATTTAGTTGCCTGTTTATTAGGTACACCATCTAGTACCGGGTCGGAGCCCCCTTTGCCTCCAGAACAGCCTGATTTTGTCGGGGCATGGAAACATTGCTCAATTAGTATCAAGGGACCTAACATGTGCCAGGAAAACATTCCCCACACCATTACACCGCTGACACCAGGCAGGATGGGGCCGTGGACTCATGCTGCTTACGTCAAAATCCTGACTCTGTCATCAGCATGACGCAACAGGTACCCGGATTCGTTGGACCAGGCAATGTTTTTTCACTCAATTGTAAAGTCTTGGTGATCGCGTGCCCACTGGAGCTGCTTGTTCATGTTTTTAGCTGATAGGAGTGGAACCTGGTGTGGTCGTCTGCTGCAATAGCCCATCCGTGACAAGGACCGACGAGTTCTGCGTTCCAAGATGCCGTTCGGCACACCACTGTTGTACTGTGCCATTATTTGCCTGTTCGTGGCCTGCCTGTTAGCTTCTTGCCATTCTCCTTCGACCTCTCATCAACGAGCTGTTTTCGCCCACAGAACTGCCGCTGACTGGATGTTTATTGTTTGTCGCACCATTCTCAGTAAACCCTAGACACTGTCGTGCATAAAAATCCCAGGTGGCCGGCCGTTTCTGAGATACTGGAACCGGCTTGCCTGGCATCGGCGATCATACCACGCTCAAAGTTGCTTAGGTCCCTCGTTTTGCCCATTCCAATGTTCAATCAAACAGTAACTGAATGCCTTGATGCCTGTCTGCCTGCTTTATATAGCCAGCGAACCATTTTTGTGAACGGTGTGCCTAATAAACTGGCCACTGAGTGTATAATGGAGGTAGGTGGATGTGCAATGTAATAGAATAAGTAGGCTATATAATTGTATGTACATCCTCTCCATTAGGCGTTCAACAAGGGGAAGAGGGAGGGCTTCTTTCTGAAGAGTGTCGACAACGCCCCCCTTGCAAAGCGACGCAAGCTCAAGATGACAAGTACAGGTGTGGAGACTCGACGGAGCTCCTCTTCCTCCTCCTCTTCCTCCTCCTCCTCAGCTGCCTCTGCCGCTACAACAAACCTAAAAACACAGCCACCACACCAAACTCTACCCCCAAAGCTAGAAAAGAGCTAGCAGGCGAGGAGGGGAACAAGAGGAGGGGGAAGAGTGGGAGGAATAGAGTTAGGAGAATGAAGCACATTAATTCAGCTATGACAGATTGGAATACTAGCTCTGAAAGACCAGAGATTACTTGATTTGTTATATCCCCTCTAAGTCCAAAGTCATATAGAATCTCCAAATTATAATAACTTATTTATGAACAAAGTAAGAGACTAGTTCAATACTTAAGATGAAACAAAAGGGTTCACGACCCTGTTTTCTTTAAAAGACTATGCTGAATGGCATTTTGAGTTATCATAATGATGCAAGGACTTCATCTATATGTATTAATACCATCTGTAGTAGCTTGTACCATCTCATACGTTTTCTCAAGAAATTAACTAACATGTAATTTCTTGAGTGGAACTAAGCTTTAGACTATTGTTTTCTAATTTCTGGTCTAGAGGCTATATATCAGTATGGGTAAGTTATGGAAGACACTTCGTTGGCTTTAAGATCATACTTATGAAGTTTTCAGTCACCTTAGCAGGGTGATGATGAGCACGCAGTTGGAGATAATCCTGATGTTTGCATGTTGTCATTACCTGGGGTAAGGAACCCTCTTGTAGAACAAGTCAGAGAGAAGCGGAGTGAGAGAGTTCAAAAGGGGTAAAGGGAAATACGGAGTCATGAATGAGCACAAGCCATATTTACACAGGGAGGTCATGACCTCCACAACAGAGCACTTATGGATAGATACAGAGCACTCATCGCATGGCGAGGAAGTGGCTTGGAGTCTGTTGGCAGTCTCTCACTGTTTTTAATGATGTGGTTGAGATTAAGAAAGAATGGTGGTTCTGCGGACAGCTATTCAAATGAACTTTGACACTGTCTTTGTAACCCAATGGTTCTTGTCACATAGTGCCAATTTACAGGACCCTTAGTATTATTTCCTTTGGCTTGCGATTTCAGCCTTCTATCGACGTTGGTGTCTGTTTGCATAGTTAACTGGTTCGCTGAAGTTCACCTGAGAATCAAATAATGGCATCCATTGTTCTGTATTCATACGTGTGCTTCATTAACAACGATCATGATTCTGACAGTCAGAGAAGACAGGGAAATGGAACACTTGGTGATAGACATTCTGATTTGACATAGTCCCATACACAGTGCCCTAAAGCGCATTATGTAAATGATTATGAGCAGAGCAACTTTTCGGTATATTAGGGGGCCAAACCAAAATATGAATTATTTTTACTGGCGGTAAATATTGTCACCCTGATTTAAAGAAGTTAGTGTTTTTGTAGACATTTAGGTGTTTGGTCATTGAATGTCAGTTACACTGATCATTTACTAATCACTTTTTTTACCGGAATATATTGACTGTTGATTTGATTTATACCTGGATATCACACAAATGTAGTCATTTAATCAGTGATATTATTTCAGATTTAAACAGTGCTTATTTGAGTATTTATTACATTTCATGGGTTTTTATGTGTTTTTATAATGCTGTGGTTATGGTTTTCATGAGCATATGTACTTGTATACATGTTGGTGTGCGTGCGGCGTGACTGGTTCTGGTGATTGGATGTGCTCTTTTCCTTATTAGTCTTCAGGTAAAGTATTATTGCAAGTTACTGTAGTAAATAGAATTGTATTGATCACAGATTTTTTATTAGTTACTCCTTATAAACATTATTTTGTGTCTGGAACCGTGCTTTTGTAACTATGCTATTGTTTGTATTTTCATTTGGCTGTTGATGTCGTGTGTTGTCTTTTTAATGTTATGAATTTGAGACTCTTTTTAATGAGCTACTACCGATTTCATGTATTGCTGTCCTTTTTGCCCAACATTTTTTTGCTTTCTTCAAAGCATATCATGATATTGAGATTCACTACGTCACGATAACTTGTGATGCTTGGTGTGCGTCAAGATCACTTCAATCTGGAGCAAAATAAATGACTTTACTCAATTTACTCGTTTTCTTCTGTGTTCTTAGTCTCATACATCAATTTGACATTAGTATTTTTGCGTTAGAGATGATGACTGATGTGTGTTTTTTCAATTAAACTGTCTTGGAATGTATTTTGTGGATCCAGGAAATATTTGTGACATACAGTATTATTTGTTAAATTGAGAGTTGACAGAAATGGCCTGTAGTATTATTATGTTGCCAGCAGGGGACAGTAGGGTGCTTACCAGTAGCAGGCCAACAGGCACAATGAGCCATTGAAAACCAATGACTATAATGTGACTCATTGTGCCATTAATCAAAACGATCCTTGAGTGGATCATTTGCATAGGAAATTGTGATATATTGAGCATGACACAGATGGAACGCTAAATCAAAACCATTCCATCAATTACAATCTGCAGCCTTGGAAGTGACCCAAGAGGCCTGAGCCTGCCTTCGGTGAGAACACACACTCTCTCTCTCACACACACACACACATACACACACTGGAATGGATGAAATGTATACGTGAGCAGATATACCCGGCCCTTTCACACAGATACACACAAACTCTTCTGGCAGACCCGAGAGCCCTGCGAACAGATCACACATGCAGACTTTGTCTTGCATTCCTCCACCAAGCTTTTAAATAATTAACAGTAGAGAAGTGCAGCTCTACCCGTGTCAGTAAATGCATCAAGGTTGATTTTATGGCAGATGTACCACTTTTATTCCCCTGCCATCAAAATGTAACCCTTGCTTTCCGACAACTCCTTCCATTAAATCTAAAGATGACTTATGTGCACCATAGGACTCGAGGAGGCAACATTCCATCACCAGCATGTACTATATGGAACCCAAACAGTTCCAGTGCTATCAGGTAAAAAAGGCAAAAACAGCAATCGTGACTGTAGAGGTGAAGAGGGTGTCCGCATTCAAGGTCACTGGTGGTGAGTGCTCATTTGTAACTCCAAGCGCTAGTCCCATTGACTGATGTGTTGCTGGCACAGGGAAACAAGGAAGGTGTGTGTGGGTGTGTGTGTGTCCATACAGCAAGTGTGGGTGTCCGTGTCCTTATGCTTTGGGAGATGGCTTGCTGAATACTGCATTAGCCAGCTGCCATGAGGAGGTAAGAGTGATCCTCTGTGTCTGTCCCTCTACCCCTTTACCACTCTCAGCCTCTCATTCAATGACACTGTAATATTGCAACAGTCAACATCTGAGACATCTTACTCAGAGACTGCGTTTACAAAGGCAGCCCAATTCTAATATTTGTTTCACTAATTGGTATTTTGACCAACCGGCTTTGAAAAATATCTGACGGGAAAAGATCTGTTATTGGTCAAAAGACCAATTAGTGGAAAACATATCAGAATTGGGCTGTCTGTGTAAGTGCAGCCATAGAGTGTGGGTACACATACACACAATTACACAGTCACACATTGGCTCTCTCATCTTCCTGTCACTGCAGTGAGCATCCACTTCACCATTGGCAGTTAAATAGCTTGAAAAAGAACAAAATGATCTTTCATTGTTTCAAGTGAATACTTTTTAAAACATTGATACATGTTTCCTTTGAACAGCTTTGTTGTTGATGGCCTTGGATTATTGAACAATATTGAACATGTAGACTCTTGGATTATACTGTATTTATATCATATTTATAGCAAGCCTATGCTGGATCACTGTGTTCTTTCTACAGTAATTAGAATGTTGATTTGGTTTGTGACTGGTGATTGTTGGTCATTGCTTGAAACACTCAGTTGGTGGTCTTTTTGTGCTAATGAAAAGCTGTTGTGTTTCCTTTTAAACAAATGAAAATCATTCCTATAATAAATAAGGACAGATTCCTCTTTAGTTGGCTCCCCTACTTCCTCTGCATATGATTTTCATTGCATGCTGATGAACGTGATTAGAAGCGTGCATAGTCTTTGCATAAACTCTCACAGATGTATAGTAAATTATTCATCCGTTGTTTGTTTATTGGTAAAAAAAAAAAAAAACATTTTGTAAAACCAATTAATTCCTAGCTCAGTATTTATTTGTCTGAGATGTGTAATGCAAAGCGAGGCAACTACAGCAGTGCATTGGTCTCTGGCCTAAAATAAATGTGTGATTTGTTGACATTTAGTTTCTAATTCCTTGAATGTAAACAGCAGTTTCCTCCTGTTTCTCTTCATCCTGCACCCGTCTACCCCCATCCCCTACTGTGACAGGCTCTCAGACAGAGAGGCTGTGCATCGATTCAGCGGCTAAAAAGGCATTTTGAATTCACATGCCATTTCACCCCCCCCCCCCCCCTCACTTTACTCCTGCAATTCCATTAACCTATCCCTCCCCTCTGGCACAACCCCCCTCTTCTAGTGCTCTCTCTTTTCACCCTGTCCCCTTTTTTCCTAACCCTTCATTTCTGGTTCATTACAGAGAGAAAGAGTGAGAGAGAGGGATGACCCCTGTCTTTTTTTTAACTTTCTGTCGCTTGGCAGTGATGTTACTCTGACCCCCACCCTTAACACCAATTATCTTCATCCTGCCCCTCTCTGCCCTGACCGACCACCAGCCCCACCCTTCTCTTTCTCTCTCTGTCCGATCAAATGAATGAAATGTAAACTAATGTTATCACTAACGGAACGTCCCTTAAACACTGATTCATTTATATGCATATTCATACATTCCCACAAATACACCAGGTGGGGCCTGCTGCGGCTGACATACTGACCCAGTTGGTCGAGGAAGTGGAGTGTGTGTGAGGCGCAGACACAGAATGAATCATGGCTGTAAAAAAAGAGGAATACATTTAGCTGGAGGGTATGAAAAAGCACTGTAGGGCCAGCACTGAGGAGAGGATGAGATGGCTGCTAAAGGTGTCAAATGTCAAATTAGAGGTAGAGGGGGAGGGTACAAAGTGAGAGGGGGTTTCAGGCGTATGCCCTTTGGTTGGTATAATTTCTAAATCATTTCCACAAAATAACGACTCATATCTGTCTCTCTGTCATTGTTAAGTGCACCTCCCCCAGTATCTGATCTACAGGGCCGTGAGCAGTTTATTAAAAAGTGAAAGTCATTCTAAATGAGCTTATAATGCTCACCCCTCTCTGGAAACAGCAGACAGACACTAATGGGACGCTGCAGTGCATCTGACAAGGTTAAACACAATGAGACAGACAGACAGAGGGGGAGATGGGGGATGTAGGACTGCAGGCAGTGGGATGAACTAGCCAACACAAACATATTTCTGTTCTCAAATAAATAAGCTGCCCCACCCATTAGTACTTTATAAGTAGCCTACTGTCCCTTATGAGGGCGACCGTTAAGAGGAGCTCAATGCAAGCCTGACGGTATCAGACACTGAGGCTGTGAAATGGTCGGCCTGTCTGTTGGGACGTGGAGCATTCAAAAGGATAAACTGTCATGAATTGTCGTGTCCATCTGTGATTTAGGTCAAGGCCATTTACGGGTCCGGTCAGGCAAGCACAGAGACGACGCGTGCAGTGCCACCATTTCAAAGGCAGCACAATCTACTGCATTGTGGAGACGCCACTGCTCTTATTAGCGTCCTCTCTCTCCATCTCTCTCTATTGATCTGAAGCTGAATCTCAGTCACAGTGTGGTATTCACAGTGCGTACAGTCACTGAGTCCTCACAG